GTGCCCGGCACAGGGCGGCCGCTGGGCCCAGGGCGGGACCCCCAGCAGGACTGCCCTCCTCTCCCGGAGCCTGGTGCTGGGGGGCGGGGTCTGGAGGGAGACCTGGCCGCGCTCTCCCCCGGATGGCGGCCGCAGTTAGAACTGTGGGAACTGTGTCAGCAGACGGAGCTGCGCGCAGAGGCCCGAGGGCACGCAGTCCCGTAGCTTCTGCCCGGTCCCCAGCCAGGTGCGTGCTGCTGCGTGAGGACAGGGACCCTGGGCAGGCGGTGCCCGAGTTGCCCAGGGAAGGAAGGAGCCCAGAGCTGCCTGGCCCGGGAGCAAGCGCTGCCCCTGATCACCCGACAGGGAGTCTGTGCATCCTGCCGGCCAGCACCGGGCGGCCTGACTGTGGAAAGGCGCGTGACCCCTCAGCACCTCCTTGGAGCTGGTCTCGCTTTCGTCTCAGGAGAAAGGAGAAGCCAGCCCGGCCGGCAGAGTCCCGGGGGTGCGGTGGATCTGAACACGCCAGCCATGGCCCCGAGGTAATGGGGGGTGGGGCAGGTACCCCCAAGACCTCCACCTCAGGGAAGGAGGCCACCACTCCGCCTGTGCCCCCGCCCTCTCCCACCGCCTGTGGGATCTGTACCCTGTAGGGTACCAGCGGCCGCCAGGCCAGGGAGTCCAGGGGGCGTCCCTTGTGTCCCCGGGCGGCAGGCCTGCCTCCACCAGCCCAACTCCCGTGGACCAGCCCTCTGATGCCGCAGGGCCCTGCACCCCCAGAAGCAAGACCCCAAAACCCCCTGGTGAGGGGCAGGCTTGGACCTGGGGCGGCCGATGGGAAGGCACTGCCCCCCTCACCCCCAGACGCCGGGGCCTGTCTCCCTGCAGGACGCCCCCTCCTTGTCTGTCCAGTCCAGCCCTGCCAGCCCTGCCCTGACCCACGGCATCTGGGGTGGGTGCCCTAGATCCCGGCGGGGGGGAGGGCCTGTCAGGACCAGGGAGGCCCAGCCTGGGGCAGACATTGGGTCAGAAAGCAAGGGTGGCTTTCTTCCAGATGTGTCTGCCACCCCCACTGCTGGAAGCCCAGGTGCCAGGCCCCCAGCACTGGGTGAGGGGCCAGGCCCCGCACTCGCCCCGTCACCCTCCTCCCTCGGCCTCCGGGAGCCGCTCGTTTGCATTCTCCCCAACCCTGAGCCCTGGGAGGGGATTAAGGAGCGCTGACACCCCCTTCGGTTACCATGGATACCGAGAACTGGGGTGAGCAAGCGCAGGGTGGGGGCGGGGCTGCTGGTGGGGCCTGAGCCTCCTGGCCGCGGGCCCGTGCACATGTCCACCCCCAGCCCGGCCAGCAGGGCTTCTCTCCGGGCCGAGGGCCAGGGGCCAAGGCCGCACT